AGAAAGAGAGAATAGACCTAATTTTCGAACCACATGGAGGATCAGTAGGAACACTTTAGAAGTATCTTCTGGGTTATGCCCATGCGAGTGCTCACGTGCACACACACACACACACACACACACACACATATGCACACATGCACACACTGTGGGATTCTAGTAAGAAAGGCCTCCACCAAGAGCTCTGTGACCCACACCAAATTCCGCAGACAGCCACTCTGCCTCCGACCTTCAGTCCATTGTGCTTCACCTGTGTTCTGGGGGAGTGACTTTGAGGAGGATGATGGAAGTTTTTTTATTAAGAAATGAAGTCAGACTGAAGGCCAAGGCCGCTGTTTCCAGTGTCCATCTTCAGGCCCAGGGCATTCTGAGCTGGGGTCCCTCTGACTCTTCCCCGAGGGTTTATAGGAAGAAGGAAGAGCTTGGCTCCTGGTGGCCCCATGTTGGACGCCTGTCCCAGTCCCTCCCTCCCCGTCCTCACCTGCTCCTTGAAACAACTGTCTGAACCCGCGACCTTCAGCCCCAAGCACCCAGCTGGTCCCACTTGGGCCGACTGAGCGCCAGGCAGCTCAGGGCTGACCTGTGTGTCACCAGTCTCCAGCCCCGCAGGCGGGCAGGCCTCTTAAGGACAAACCCCAAGTCAAACGTCTTCTCTTCTCCCCAGTGTTCTCCATGACATTAATTTTAAGTGTGGTAAAATACACCTAACATCATTTTAACCCCTTTAAGCCAACAGTTCCATTCTTTCGCCTTGTTGTGCTCCGTGGCGTTCATTGTAAGCTTAGCCCCGATGCGAGTTTGTCTCAGAGGGGGCGGTTGCTTCCTCCCCAGGGAGATGCTCCTAACACTTTTGTTGCAGCCGATTAGAACCCAGCCCCTGCCGCTTGGCTCCTGCCCGCAGATCTTGCTGCTGTGGTTCAGTCTTGGTTTCAGAGGTGCAGATTGCAGAGCCGAGCGCGGCCGGTGGAGGGTCGCCTCGCAGCGGGGGAGGGGGTGACCGGGGAGGGGTCGCGGGAGGCTCTGCTGGTGGCTTCAGGGGCTGCCTTGTCAGTGGGGGTCAGAAGTCCACTGTTCCTCTAACTGCCTCAGCTCCGATCCCCCAGCCACACACCCTTCCCTGCTCAGACGGGCCCAGGGATGCAGTTTTCATCTTAACGCGCAGGCAGTTCTGTTCCTCGATCGCCGAGACCAGGTGTTGCTGACCATCCCGAGGCTTTCCTTCCCAACAGGACAGACCTCCGCCGTCTTTACCTGCTTGAGTCCCACGAGCGGACGATGTGGTTCTTAGCTCGTCTTAGCCCCCACCTTCTCCCGGGGTCGGTGGGGGCGGGATGGGGTGTCCCCCGTGCGTGGGGGCCGCTCAGCAGCCACCCTGGAGCACAGCCCCTGCCCCCCACCCCGCGCTGTGGTCGATGCTTCGCGTCCGTCACTTCTCTGTGTCCCCCTCCATGTCCCCCTTCCCTGTGCGGTTGTTAAAAGCTTTCTATGATCTGTCGCTGTGTTTCCCTCTAGTCAGGAGTGGCAGGAAAGGACGCCGGCGAGTGTTCAGCCTGTCGGAGGCCGACAGTCACGGCGGCCACTGGGTTTAGTGCTTCGATCGGCAGCTGTCACGGCACCTCGGGCTCGGTCACTGCAGGCAGGTCTCCTCTGTTAGCCTCCTGGGCCCTCAACACCCCCCACCACCGCCCCGCACGTTGCATTTCCAACTCCTGCAGACCCCCAGAACGCCAGGCGAGGGCACGGGGAGCCCCAGCCGCCTGCCCGAGCCATTTCCTCAGCTCCGGTCCCCTCCTGGCCTCATCCCACCCGAGGACCGAACCCCTTGGCCCTTGACCCACGGGGCTCAGCTGGGTCAGCTCCTCCGCGAGGCAGAGCCAGGCAGTCTGGAAACACTGCCCTCGGTGAGACCCTGCAGCAGGCTAGGCACAAGCCCTGAGCTAAGGGGGTTTCCAGCCCCTTCCTCCCAGGGCCCCCCAGTTTAGGCCACAAGGGCTAGGCAGAATTTGCAAAAAGCCACAAAGAAGTTACCTAGTTGCTTTTTTTTCTTTTCCTTTTCCTCTCCGCCCCACCCCCACCCCACTCACCCTCTCCTCAGCCTTGCTCGTATCTAAGTGGTGGATTCCATCACATTCCACCCAGAGGCCAAGTCATTTCACTCGTGAGTGCGCTGGTGGACATGACTCCACCGTTTTCCCTTCTTGCGATCAGAGCTCCAGATAGCGGCCGTGTGTGGGCTGTGGTCACTGCCACCATCCCGCAGTGCTCCCTCTAGGGCCCCCCCCTGCCCTGTGCCCTCCGTCTGGGCAGCAGCACTCGTCAGACAGGAGCCTTTGCCTTCTCTTGCATTTAAAAGCTGCCTGCCCTGAGCTTTGCACTCCTACTTGCTGTCTTTTCTTCCCCATGTCGCTCAGTCCCACCTCCCCCAGCCTGAGCATGTCAAATCCTCATCTTGATTGGAAACTGTCACCCACTCAACAAGCGTCAGCCCTGGAGCTGCAGATCAGCCTCCAAGGGTGCCAACCAGGGACTCAGGGCACCCACTGCCTTGGTTTCAACTCGAGGCAGCACCGCGGGGAGGCTGAGCACCCCTCACGGGAACTGGACTTTGGGCTCTCCAGCTCCGGCCTCCGCTCGTCTCCTGGGTCAGGCCTGAACCTGTGCCCTCGGAGCTCAGAAACACCAGCAGGCAAGCGAGGCAGAGGGTCCACAGTGACCACTGCAGATCTGTGCTTGACCAGGAATGGTGTCCTCCCTGGGTAATTTTCCCTTGTATGTATAAATTTGGAGCTAACATTCAGGAAGCAGCTCTTAGTTTAAAAATTGGTAGGTAGATATAGATAGATAGATGGGAAATAGATAGATGATAGATAGAAGATGATCAATAGGTAGATAGCTAGATGATAGATAGGAAATAGATGATAGGTAGATAGAAACAAAGAACAGTGTTGTAGACAATGGGTAAGAAAAGGTTATTTTTCTTGTTTAAAAAAATAAATAGGAAGAGGCTCTTTTTCAGGGGACAAATGGATCCTTTTAATAAAGTTGTTCTTTTCTTAAAGAAGAAACCACTTTTGTGTGTACTGCATCATTTGTTGGTTTGTTTCCTAATATATTTAACGGCAGCCTTCCCACACGCTTGATCGTTCTCACCACCAGAAACCCGGGCAGGACTCAGGGAATGAGGTTTGCCAGCCTCTTGAAAATCTGCATGCAAGTGCAGACCCGAGCAAAGAGGGAATTCTCCTGGAGAATTCTGCAGAAAACGTGAAGGAAACGCTCCGAAGCTCTGTCTCCAGATGGCACAGAAGTGCCGTTTGGATGGTTAGTCATCTCTAAACTGCCTCGCCAGCAGCTAAGCCCACACGTGGGTCCTTCTGTAATAAGTTCCTGGACACGCTCGTGTGAAGCGAGGCGAGGCCGCCAGAGCAGGTGAGCCCCACACTCAGAGCCTCACGTTCAGGGCACGCCACATCCCAACATGAGCCCAAGGCCTGAAATCAGCCCGTCGCCACCAGGCGTCCTTACTGAGTGGAGCAAATTCACTGAAATTCAGAGAAACCAGAAAGCGTGTGGGGTTGTTTACTCAGCATTTCTGGGCTCAGATCGCACCTTGAATCATTTTTTCCACTAGTGCTCACCCGTGTCCACCGACACCACCCCACCCCAGAGCCCCATGTGGTGGTTTTCTGTGGGCCTACTCTTAAAAAAAAAAAAAGGAAAGAAAGAAAAGAAAAAGGACCTTGTGCAGAAGTGACCTGCGGCCTTTCTGAGCTCGCCGTGCCTGGGGTGGGGTCCTCTGGGAAGGAGCGATGTGTCCTTTGGGAAACCCCATCTGTTGCTTGTGCTTTCTCCACGCTGGGGACCCTCTTTCCTCTCTTTCATCCCATTCTGTACGCCCTTCGGTTTTATTTTGCGCTTGGTTTTTCCATTCTTTTGCTCTGTGTTCAGTTTGCGGTTCTGTTTTGTTTTGGCTTAACTTAAAAAAAAATACAACTCACTTAAGTGGAATCACATTGAACCAAAAAACAGCGCCTGCCGTCATCCCAGGGCCCAGAGTGCTTTTGGATTCCCACTCCACACAGTGTGCTCAGAGCCCTGTTGACCCCAGGGTCTGTAATAAGGGAGATTTGCTCTCCGAGCGAGATGCCCACGGCCTTCTCATCTGTGCTTTCCGATCGCTGGCACGTGAAGTCTCGGCAGGTGTTTCCCACGAGGGAGCCCCAGTCCAGCTGGTGTCTCTGCCAGCCCCGCTCCTCCTTGAAAAGCAAATAAGCCATTCGCCTGTAATCTAATCAACGGATTTCAAAAAGCACCAAAGAAAGAAACTGCTGCTCCAAAAATAACTGCTTCGGGCCACCCCTCCCTCCTGACGTGGTTTCTCTCGGTGGCCCTGGCATGGGGGTGGAGAGGGGAGAGACCCTCAGCATAGATATGGCCTGGTGATCGCAGCCTCTTGCTGGGTGCTAACGCCGCACTCAGAGCCAGAGCAGGCGAGAGAACCACAGTCCAAAGTCTTGTTCTAGTTTTGCAAAGCCGAAAAGTTCTATAGAATTCCTTTTTTTTTTTTTTAATATTGCAGTGAGTTCCCTCTTGGGCACTGTTACCAAATATAGACTCTGAGAAATGGCCTGCGGTGATGAGCACACCCAAGCCCATCTCTCCCTAAACATATATTTCTCCTCGGGCAGGTGGTTCATACTCGGAGCCGGTTTAGCTGCTTCCTGGCACGGGGAACTGGGCTTCTGGAATCCACTCTGCACAGGCCCCTAAATGTGTCCCTTGCTTCACAAGTCAGAGTAACCCTGGGCCCTGGCCGACTTGCCCCAGACCTAGGTGTGTCCCCAGAAGGAGGAAGGGGAGGCAAGCTGGTTCCCCCACATGCTTCATCTCCCACCCACATGTCCCCGGGCCTTTGTTCAGGACGGGAGCAGAGGGTACCAGCACGAGCAGAGCCTCTCGGAGCTGAGCGTGCCTCTCTTTCTTCTCCCCCCCTTGCCCAGATGACCCCATGATCACGGAGCAGCCTCAGCCTAACCTCCCCGACCAGTTGGTGATTGTCGACGAAACAGAAGCCGAGGCCAGGCCTGGCAAGAGCCTGGCAAGGAGTGCGGACGTGGAGACCGTCACCCTGTCGCCCAGCCTCATCCCCGCCCAGCAGCCCACCATCTCCCTGCTCTGCGAGGACACTGCGGACACGCTGAGCGTGGAGTCGCTGACCCTCGTCCCGCCCGTCGACCGCCACAGCCTCCACGCCCTCACCGGCATCCCGCCGCTGCCCCCAGCCGTGGTGGGCACAGAGGCCCTGGGCTCGGGGGCCGGGCGGCCGGAGCCAGCAGACCCCTCTGAGCCCTGAGCCGGCCTCCCTCGGGGTGGACGTGTGTGTGTGTGTGTGTGCGCGCGCGTGCGTGTGTGGCCCCGCTGGCAGGGACCTGATACAGCTGAAGCCCCAGGAACATCCACAGTTCTTCTCGGCCCCAGGGGGCACCTCAAACCATCCTTGCGCTCCTCTACTCCAATTCGAATCCCTCTTTGCCTTCACGCCTGTTTGAGAGCAGGCTGGGACCAGTGGCAACACCCCGGTGAACCCGGATCGTCCGAAAGCCGCCTCAGGGAGGGGGCTGGGCTCCTGGTCTCAGAGCCCTCGGCCCCCAGGTGTGGGGGTGCAGGCAGCGGCAGGACCCATCAGCAGCACTCGCTTCATCAGCCGGCCTCCCCTGTCTTGGAGGTCCTCTGCCACCATCCTCAGCGTGCAGAGAAGCAGCAGACGTGGTCACTTTGTGTAGAAATTTCTAGAAAAGCAAACTTCGATAAACACCTCCTTTGGATATTTATTCCTGCTTTTGGCAGCAGATGAAAAACAGCTATTTAAAAAGTTCAAAAAGAAGAAACGTCCTCCACCCTAAGGTTTGATGTCATGTTGTAAGTGTAATATTCCTGTAGAGATTTCGTTTTCATTTTCCCTTGAAGTTCCGGAATTTGCGGTTTAGAGTTCTGTGTCCAGCTTTCTCCACTGTCTTTAGGGACTCTGACTTATTTGTCTCTCACTAACCCGCGAGCCTGTGGAATGATAGAAGTCCCTTCTGGAAAGATTAAAGTACTTTTTAAGCATAAATAAGGGAGAGATGCACATCCTCAGGTACACACAGAGCTGAGAGAGCCAAAAGTTTCTCTGCCGTGGCAGCCCAGGGCCGTCACCCAGATCTTTCCATGAAAAGGGGGACTGTGGTCAGGTCCCTGCTCAGGGCCACCCCCCATCCTTCTGGACTGAAACCAAACAGGACGGTTTTCCAGCATGGCCTTCAGTTGTCACCATCTCTCCATTTGCCTAAGAAAGAACTCTGTGGGACTGCAGGAACTCTGGCCTCCCTCTGATGGCTCTGATGGAAAGAAAAGGTCTTGGAAACCATGCTCCAAGGCCATTGCCTGCTGCTTAGCTGTGTGGGTGCCCACAGGCAGGGACACCCCCAGGGTCAGCCCCTGCCCAGCAGCAAGGACATGGTGTCCTAGGAGCCTGGGTTTTGGCCCTCTTCCTCTCAGCTGCTGCTGTAAAGATGCAAGCTCATTTGTGTTTATTTTTGTTTTGTAATGAAAACCCCTGGTTCCGTCTCCATTTGGGCTGGGCGTGTGCAGACCAGGTCTCCTCTGTATCTGATAAAGCTCCCAAGATACTCTTTCTGCTCAAACCAGGCACAGCCAAGCGACCCTCACCTCACTGATCGATGTTGAGATCTTGTAGAACTGGCCTCCACGTGTTCCCACAAGAATGTGAGCACCCACCGTGTCAGCACTGGCCGGGGTGGGTTGTCAAGCGGCCTCAGAAGATGCTACGCAAGCTCACCTGTCAGAGACCCCGTCCCCCTTGCCTCCTCCTCCATCTGCAGTCAGGCAGGGCCTGCCTGGGCCAGATTCAGCCTCCTAAAGGAAACACCCAGTTCCCCCGAGTAAGGGCCGTGGCATCTGCAGGGCAAGTCTCTCCAGCCATCAGAAGCCCCTGGGCAGGTGAGACCAGCCAGCACCATCAGGGGAAAAGACCCAGCTCAGATAGAAGGCCATTTCGACAGAAATTCCAGGGGCCCCAGCAAGGAGGGACAAGCCATGACTTTCAGCAGAGCCCTCCAGAAAGGACAGGTGGCGGGGACAGAAGGAGGGAGAAAGTGCGTGTTGTCAGGGAGGGGACCCCACTGGTGCATCTGCTGGGATGAGGCGCAGGATTGCTCCGGAGGCTGCCCACTTCTGCTTTTGAAACGATTCTGGAGCAGCAGAAAGGAAGAAAGGCCAGTGGCATTATTGTGAGGAAGAAGCCCAGGCAGGTGGACCCAGCTCTTCAAGCTCTACAGGAGCAAGGTCTCAGCCAGTGGGGACCACACACCTGGAAGGACCCAGGGCAGCATCACCAGGCAGGAGAGCTGAACGCAGACCGGCCTCCGTGGGCTGTTGAGCAGAAGGTGCGATCAGGCCAAGCTTCCACCCCATGCCTGGCCCAGGGGCAGACTTCCCCCAAAGTGGGCTCACAGGGTTGGTCCTGGGCCGCCCACAGCCTGCTGGCAACCAGATCCCCACTGTCTTGGCAGCACTGGGTACAGCTGCATCTTCAGGAGCACCCCAAAAAGCGAACGGTGGGGGCACCTCCAGAGAGGCCCTTCCAGACAGCAGGAACTGGGTCTCCAGGGCAGAGAGAGGTAGAACCAGGAATTCTTGGCGAGCCCAGGGCAGGCGGGGGCCACGGCCCCATGACACATGGGTACCAGACTTGGATCATCCATCCCTCCATCTCCATGTCCTGCCCCTCCAGAGACCCTCCCTAAGTCCACATCAAGCCCATTGGGTTTGCCAGGTCAGGGGCAGAGCTGGTCATGTCTTCCCCCAAACATCAGCTTTGACAGTGGCTGGGGGAAAGCACATATGCTTCTGGTTTGCCAGCAGGGGCGCCTCAAAGTCAGAAAGGCACGTGCCCCCCACCCAGGAGCGGGTATTGATTGTCCTGCCGGCACCAGCAGACCCTCTGTGCTCCCCTTACCCCTCCAGGCGTGGCCTGCTTGCTGCTCTTTGCAGAAGGCAGCTCCTCCCACCCCCCAACACCTGCCCTGCGACCCGGGGGTGAGTGACGGAACGCACCTCTACAGACATACACTAGATTTCCCTAAGGTCTCAAGATGCACTGGTCCAAAAGGCGCGAGGCGGGGTGAGGACCGACACTCACCTTCTTTTCTAGATGCAATAAATAAGAAATATTTAATGTAGTCACGATGACAGGGGGGCGGAAACTGTAAGGGTTCCTTATGTTCCTCCAAGTTGAAAATATGTAAATAATTCTTGTCCCGGGGTGGAGTGGGATTGAGAAACCTCATGCTTTCCGGGCCCCGGGACCGTTCCAGGGAAGTACCTGCTCTCGCCAGCGTGATTCATGCTTCGCGGGTACTCAACACAAGGGTGGAAATGAAAACTGGAACTTCCTTGTAAATTTGAATTTGGCAATAAAAAAAAAGAAAGAGTTACCAAGAATGTGGCCGCTGCTCCATGGATGTATGGCGGGAAGGCCACAGCCCGGCAGAGGGGAAGGTTCTCGGCCGTCTGACCCCCTCGGCCTGTCAGAGCTGCGGGGCGGGGTGGAGCCACTGGGTTCTCCCCGCTCCCACCCTAGCCAGGTACCCCCAGTTCCTGAAAGGAGGGGCGGGGAAAACACCTCAGGTGCTCCCTCCAGCAAGGAGCTCCCAACGCCAGGCAGGTCAGGTGCCGTGAGCCTGGAGCACCCCTCAGCTGCTGGGCTCCGTCTGAGCCTCAGCTTCCACACCTAGAGAATGGGCTCATTACAGCCCTGCCTCGTAGGCTGAGCACGGGCCCCGGTGCGATGTCGCTGCTGGGCCTTGGGCTCCCCACCGAGGACAGTCGGGTGAAGTTGTGCCAGGAGGCGCCTTTCACAGGCAGCGTGGGCTCTGGAAAACCCTAGAAGCGGCATCCCAGGTTGTCCTAACAACTTCTGATGCTCCAGCTCAAAGCTGGCCCAGAAACAGCTGGAGCTTCTGGGCCTCAAGGTAAAACCCAAGTTGAGTGCAAGGCATGAAGGGGGCACCCAACTCGTGCCAAGAGTTGAGGCAATGCGAAGGAAGGTGGGGGCCCCTGCTCTGTGGCCAGCCTGACACTGGCCGCCAGCAGGCCTCCCTCCCCAGCAGGCCCGGACACCTCCCCTGAAGCCTGCCCACGAGGCCCAGGGCTGCGACGGTGCTGGGGTCCCCAGGGCTGAGGTTGGACCCCGCCCTGCAGCAGGGCCTGCAGGGTGCCCAGCACGGGTCCAGGGATTTCAGTCGTGATGTGAAATCTAGACTTCAGTCTAGAAAAAGGCACTTGCTGGAAAGGTCCCCCCAGGGAGAAGGTGGAAGACCGGCCTCGGGGCAGATGGAACCAGGGACAGCAGCTGTCAGCTCCCTGCCTGCAGAGGGTCTCAGAGCCTCTCTGGGCCAGGTGCTGGGGTGGGGAGACGGGCCTCAGGAGCCTGGGAGAGGCCCACAAGCACCCAACCACAGCACAGCCTTCCTGCGAATAATGAGGAAACTGAGGTCGGGTGGGGCTCCTCCGGGCGCAGCCCACCCTTCGCCTTGTGCTGCCCCCGGGGGGCTGGGCCGAATGTCCCCGGCTCTTTACAGGAAGGAGGGAATGGCTGTTGAAATCATCTGGAATGCCAGTTCACAGTCTGGCACCACGGGCTGCCCCAGGCCTGGCCAGGGAGAGCTGGAGACAGTGTCGGTGGGAGAGCCCTGGCGCAGCTCGGCTCAGAGGGTGCCCTGCCGACCGCAGCCTTTTGCTCCTCAGCCTCCCGGTTCTTTGGCAGTACTGGCCTCTCTTGACGAGGCAAAGTCTGGAGTCAGGTCACTCTTGCAGGCTTGGGGTGCAAAGCAAGGGCGGGAACAGGCTGCCTCGTGGGTTGTTGGATCATGGAGAGAATCAGGGGTCCACATGGGCAAAGTCCTGCGCCCAGGGCAGGCAGCCTGGGAGCCTGGGGCTCTTGGCATGAGACCCTCCGGGGCAGCTTCCGCCACCCCCGTTGCTGGGCCTGTTTGGTGGCCATGGCCCAGTCGCTACAGTCTCCCGGTCTCCAGTTCTGTGTAAGGCAGGCTCAGGAGCCCCCAGCTGCATGTACCCTCTGACTGCAAGGGGCCCAGGGTTTCCTCGGGAGTCTGCCTCGGGGAAGGTGACTGGCAGGCCTGGCCCAGCCTCCTCTGACAGTACCTGGAAGGTGGAAGGGCATTTGGGAGGGAGGGGGCAGCATCTTGTCCCTGGGTGACCTTGCATCCCACATGGAGGACCGTTTCCCAGCTGGCCGCCTGCTGGAACCCCTCCCTCTGTGGTCCTGCCTCCTCGCTGCCGCCCTTCAGGGCGATGGGGGAAAAAAACCCTCAACATCTGAAGTGCTTTTCTCCAAAGGAAGATAGGTTTGAATCACCACACCTGGAACTGGTGGGGCTTCCTGGGAACTGACTCGTGTGCAGATGAGGCCTTAGGGGGCCCCCCCCGACCCGAACCTCAGCTCCCCTCCCCACAGCTCAGCCCTGCTGTGGCCCCTCTAGACCGCCTCCTGGGCCACAGCCGTCAAGCCCAGCCCGGCTTCCCTCCAGAACGGTAGCAGGTACCACCTTGAACACACCCCTGCTCAACACATGAATGTCACTGCCACCTTAAACCACCTCCCTAGTTAATTCAGACTTCATTCCATGCCAAGGCCCCCACTCTGCAGCAGCCCAGTGCTAGGCCGGGCTTCGCCTAGAGATGATGGTGAATGAGATGAACAGAAAGGCAGGGGGACATCCTGACATGACCCTGTGCCCAAGGCTCCTGCCTGAGCGACCACTTGAGGCCCCGAGTCTGCTCCAGGAGCTTTAGCCTCGGAGCTGAGAGCAGTAGATGTTTTAAAGCCAAAAAGCGGGATTTCCCTGATGGCTCAGTGGTAAAGAATCCACCTGCCAACACAGAAGACATGGGTTCAAGCCCCGATCCTGGAAGATTCCACGTGCCTTGGAGCAACTAAACCCCTGCGCCACTATTGAGCCTGAGCTCTAGAGCCCAGAAGCCACAACCACTGAAGCCTGCGCACCCCAGAGCCCATGCTTCACAAGAGAAGCCACTGCAATGAGAAGCCCGCGCGCCTCAACTAGAGAATAGCCCCTCACTCGGCACAACTAGAGAAAGCAGCAATGAAGATCCAGCACAGCTAAAAATAAACAAATGATTTTTTAGAAAGCCAAAACATGGAGGGTTTACAGCTAAAAAGTGATGTGATTGGACACATGTTGCAAGAGATCACGGGGGCTGCAGGTGAAGGACGGCCAGGAGGGGCCCATCGCGTGGGGAGGGGTCACTAGGAAAGTGGCCTGTGACAGGTTTAGGAGGTAAGACGGACAAGCTCGTTGGACTGGCCCTGAGGGAGAGAGCTCAGTGTCCCCCTGAACGGCTTCCAGCTGCCACCTCCTCTCTCCACTGCTTTCTTCCTTCACCTGTCTCCTCTTTTACTCTGTCGCTTCCACTGGTCGCCAAAGGACTGTGGAGGCCTGGTGACAGCCTGGCAAAGCCTAGAAAAATATTAGCATATTCCTCAATCCCACCATGAAGGGACAACCCATGTGGGCACGCTGTGAGATGTCCTTCCAGTCTTTTTTCCTATGCATTTTAGCAATTGACCTAACACGGGGTGTGATTTCACGACCTGCTTCTGACACTTAGCCCCCTGGTCTCAACATTGCCCGTGTTACTGGAAGCTCCATTTCCAAAGAATGTAGAAAGTACTGCGGCAGGGTTGTGTTCCTCGGGTTAGCTGTCGTCCCGGGGTGGAACTTAAAGTTGCTTCCACTTTTATTATTTTAAATCACCCTGGCATGAACCGCTTTACACATAAACCTTTGTCCACATTTTACGTTATCAATCCCTAGAAGAGGTTCCGAGCATAGGTCATAGAAACATAAATCACCTTCCGGCTCTGGCTGTGAATTGCCCAGTGGCTTTCGGAAAAGGTTGGCTCATCGGCTCTCCCACCAGCCAGGTGCCATTTCTCCGAAGCAGCCTCAGCCTGAGTGCTGCCAGTTTTTTAATTCTCCCCCATGGACTTCCCTGGTGGTCCAGTGGTTAAGACTCTGCCTACCAGTGAAGGGGACACGGGTTCAATCCCTGGTCCGGGAAGATCCCACATGCCACGGGGCAGCTAAAGCTGGTGCACCACAACAGTTTGAGCCCATGCTCTAGAGCCCAGGAGCCACATCGAAGACCCAACACAGCCAAGAGTAAGGTTTTAAAAATTCACCCCAGTTTTATAGCCCAGCTCAAAGCTCACCTCCTCGATGAAGTCTCCAGGATTTCCCCTCTCCATCCTCCACTTTCCCAGGCCGGTGTCTCCCCTCCCCCCACTTGCCCCAAGCCGTTTCCAGGTGTCGCTAACTTGGATCTGATGTTCCCAGGCATCAGGCAGATGAGTCCCCATCCACCCAGCTTCCCAGCCCCAATCAATCAACACATTTTGAGCCTCTATAAGGTGCTGAGAAGCTTTCCCAATAGCCTTTGAGGTTGGCATTATGTCCCCTTTGGGCTTCCCAGGTAGCTCAGTGGTAAAGAATCCACCTGCCAATGCAGGAGGTGCAAGAGACTTGGGTTTGATCCCTGGGTTGGGAAGATCCCCTGGAGAAGGGAATGGCTACCCACTCCAGTATTCTTGCCTGGAGAATCCCATGGACAGGGAAGAATGGCAGGCTACAGTCCATGGGGTCACAAAGAGTCAAACACAACTGAATACACACGCATGCTTATGCCCTTTTACAGAGGAGCAACTGAGACCCAGCCCAGAGAGGCCATGTGACTTACCCAAGGTTGCACAGCTGCTAAGCGGTGTTGCAGAGGCTAGAAGAGCCACAACTCCCGCTTAACGGACACTTCCTACAGGCCAAGCCCAGCTAAGCAATGCACATGCCTGGTCTCATGTACATCAGCCACCCTACAAGGCTGACACAACTATTATCCCCATTTTACAGATGAGGAAACTGAGACCTAAAGTCATCCAGCTCAGAAGTGGTGGAGCCTCAAGCCAGAGTCTATGAGGCTCCTGGTCATGTCCTCCACCTCTCAGAGAGCAGGGCGAGGAGCCCCCACCTTCGCCCGCTCCGGCAAATTCACAGGAACTGCTTGGAAATTGCCCTATAACCCTCCATGTCTTCTCTTGAACCCGCTTATCTCCTGCACTTTATTGATTTGGCTTTCCTGCCAACCCCTCTGGGCGGGCACAGCCCTTTGGGGGCAGCTCCTGCCAAATACCTGGGAAACGACACCCTCTGCCCAGCCTGGTGGCACCTGAGAAGTGACACAGAGCCCCACCGCTCTCCGGCCCCTCCCTGGGAGGCCCCGGTGGACTGGAAGGAAAGGTTTCACTTCCCCCTTCATTTGAACATTTATTCAACAAACACTGATTGAGCACCTACTGTGTACCAGGCATGGCCAAGGCAGCAGCGAGCAAGTCAAACAGAGCTCCGTGCCCCCTGGGGCAGACCACCCAGGAAGGGGAGGCAGGCAGGAAAGAAAATAAGTACAGAGATTTCAGAGTGAGTTAAAAAATGCTGAGTGCAAGAGAAAATATGAATAGAGCTGAGGAAGGGGGCCCAGCTGGCCAATTCAGCTGCAAGTTAATCAAGGAGATCAAGGAAGGTTGTGCTGAGAAGGCACATATGAACAAAGAAGGAAGGAAGCAAGGGAGAAATAGACTCTGGATTAGAGTATTTCAGGAAGAAGGAACAGCTGGCGCAAAGGCCCGGGGGCTCATTAGGGGAACTGCAATGCTGGAGTGACTGGGGAGGACCCAGGAAGGGTGAGATCTGAGAGGAGCAGTGCAACGGGACCAGCAGGGTCCTGGGAGGCCGCTGGGGGTGCTTGGACTTTTCTCAGGGGAGAGTGGGTAGCCCTGGGAGGACTGCGAGCAGA